CTCCGCCCTCCCCCCAACCCCAAAGCCAAATTAGCGTCTGCTTCGGAAGAGTCGGTGGAAGCATCAGACGAGTCTCTTCTTCTCTGTTTCTCTTTCTCTGGAACAACGTTGTTCACTTCAAACACTGATTTGGCCAGTTGGAGAAGGCTGTAATCGAGGGTGAAGACGTGGCAGGAGCCGAGCTCAAGGATGCCACGTGGCGTGGAAACGCATACTAAAGTATGGATCCCATGACTGCGAGCTTCCCTGACTCTGTCGTCGCACTCGTTCAGTTCAAACTCGTTCACTCCACTCAGCCAAACATCTACTGCTGAGCTGAAGGCACAGCCAACGACACCGTCGCCGGCAACATAGGAACGGGTTTGAGACAGCCTGTAAAACCATTCCATGTTGTGGTTCACGTTCCTCGTTTCCTTTTCCTCCTTGCGGAAGTAACCATCGCCATATTCTAATGTGAGACGGGAATCGCTGTCTTTCGTGGCTTTCCAGAAGATGGCGTAGACCCACCACTCGGGACGGCTCTGCAGTAGGAATTGGAGGCGCTGATGAAGTGCGTTTGACACAACCGACGAAGAAGCCGAATCAATGAATTCTCTGCTCTGCCCTTTCATTTCGTCTCATGCAATTTCTTTTCTCTTGTTTTGGTCAAGTCGTTTTAAACAAGGAACACTCTAGTGTGTACATATGATTTCAAATGTGAAAGGACTGACAGAGACGGGGAGGAGGAAGCAGAAGAATAATTTTGGATCCGGAGAAGAGGAACAACTAATGGGAATTTTATACAGGAGCATTGAATATTTGAACTTGCTAGAAATTGTCTACGAGTAACTGTGCTGCGCCAATTTCACGTGTGCACACAAAATTTGACTGTGATGGGATGTGGCAGAGTTCGATGTATCTTTAATTGTTGTGATTTATTTTTCTTATATGGTATAATTATTCATTTATTTGTAGTTATTTGTTTTTAGTTGAATAGTCATGATATTATATAATAATTTTATATTCTTGACTAATTATCAATTAGATATTGTTGATAAACTTTTTATTTATTTATTATAAAAATTAACAAGATATTGTAAATGTTGATGTGTGTATATTGTCAGAAAATATTAATAGAAAAAAAATGATGGAGAATATTGTGTCATGCTAAGAATCATCGTCCTAAAAGCAAAATTTTGGTAGACGTGCAATTTATTAATTGATTTGCTTCCTAAGATTTATACAATAATGTGTTTAAAAACTTGTGTACTTGATATAAAAAATGCTAAAGTCTCATGAATAATACTCAAAATAACAAAGAGTATGAAGGAGAATTTAGAAAAATAGATAATCATTTCTTTTTTAAGACTCACTCTTTTCATATGGTATAAAGGGAATAAGTTTGTTGGCAAAAATCAAGAAATGTTTTTAATATCAACGGTAACAAAAACAATTCATATGTCAATGGTAATATTGAAATAATTAGCACTTATATATATGTCATTATTTTCACAACCCCCACTAATGATAGATAAGTGAAAGAGAAATAAAACAAATTATGGGTAAAGAAAAGTTCTTGTGTTTAAGTATTAATGTTCATAGGATTGAATTAACATAGTGGAATGAGACAACAACTTATATTCAAAAAGTGAATTATTCTTGAATTTAATGATTTAAGATGAGACCCTCATAATCACACACATTTACCTTTAAATTTTTACATAATATTTTAGGTATTTATGTGTATATTCACCTTGGGTTGTTCATGAGTGCTCTAGAAAGATAGTCAAAGTCTATCATGAAAGGTAGCCTACACATTAACACTCAAGTAGGTAGATAATTCAAGTGTATCTCTATAGCACCACCCAAATCAAGGGCTATGTATCTATTAAGAGTTCCTGGCTTAACCTCACATCAAGCACTACCACATGCTATATGGATGAGTGCATAAGAGTATTCATGTGGCTTCATTTGACCACTAATTGGGTGGCCATCATACTTTCCTCCACTCATGGCATATCAATTAGATCATTCCCTTGACATATTTAGGACAATTTTCCTAGGTAATCCTTTTATGAAAGGATCTATAAGATTTTTCTCACATTTTACATACTTGTATGAGATACCACAATTTTTAATTAAAATTTTGACATCGTGTCTTAATATCTTTTATCATTATAAGCACTATTAATCACAAGAATCGCAACTTATTAATCACAATGAAAGGATACATGAGATGTAGATCTCCTCAACAATAGTATATTAGCCATTATGCTTATTCACATGAACGTTTAAGTATTAGGAATTCCAATTCCACTATAAACCATGTTATACATGTTTGTTTTGTTAATTTCTAAGAAATAATACCACCTCTTAAAGTGAATATATATACTCACTTAGCTCATCATTTTCTGAACTCCAATTTGTATTACGAAACCATTTTGAAACAGTTGGAAAGTTAAACTCTAAATTCCAAGTCATAATACCTTTAGATTATGAGTGTACCTACTCAATCTACTTACAATATATGCAATATCAATTATATATAGAGCAATTTATGAGATACATAACACTGCCAATTATTTTTGCATATTTAGATTAAGAAACATTGGTTCCCTTTCTAATGACATTCCATCATTTTTTTTAAATGAATGATATGATCATATGATACTCTATCACATACAATATTGAAACTATTGAAATCTCTTTAATAAATTTTCAAATATAATAAGCTTGACTTAGAGAAAAACTATTTCCAGTTTTTTGTATTTTAATACCTAAAATCACACAATTTTTTCTGAAGTTTTTCATTTCAAACTAGAACTTAAAAACTTTTTTAATTTTGATCACCACTTTTAGTTAGACATCAAATAACAACATATCATCATATGACATCACAATTAGAATAAATCATTTTTACTTACACAGAAGAACAAAAAGCGTTTATTAAACTTCTCATACCAGTGCTTACATGTTTGTTCCAAACCATCATATCAAAACTTACAAAACTTGTGTTATTGTCTTGATATAAAATAATTTTTTGGTTCACAATGTAATTCTTTTATTGATCCATCATGCCTGTATTTTCATTTAACAAATCATGTCATTTCATAAGCACTTTTTATTCTATTTTTTTACTTATTAACAAAATAACCTCTAAAGTAATATATAACAATCTTACACTTTTATTTTGTGCATTATTTTATTCTCTTGAAAGGCTTTAACTCAACATATTAAAAAAAAAACTCTCAAGGAGACATTGTTAGTCTCCTAATAATGACAAAACTCTGAAAAAGATAAATTAAGGGTGAAAAAACATACCTCTATGCTCGATTAATAATCATCACATCAGACATTAATTAATCATATTTGAAATTAAGATCCTAGGTAGTTAGGTTGTGAATGAAATAGTTGGTTGTAATTGCTCCTAAACTTTTACTTAGAGTCATTTCTAAAAGATAAAGCAGAATAACTTTATCAAACTCAATACCTCCGCCAAGAGTTACAACTAAGAATGCAATTAAATGTAATCAACTATAATTTACTCGTGTGTACAAATTCTAATTACATTAGTGAAGTGAATAACACAAACACTACAAGAAAAATTGTTATTATCTATGGAATATTACCTACAGAATTTTTTCCATAGGTAATGTTTAGTTATCTACGGAATTTTTTTCGTAGGTAATGTTTAGTTATATACGGAATATTACCTACGAAATTTTTTTCGTAGGTAATGTTTAATTACCTACGGAATATTACCTATGAAATTAGTTATCTATGGAATATTACCTACGAAATTTTTTCCATAGGTAATTTATAGTTACCTACAGAATTTTTTTCCTTAGATAATGTTTAGTTATCTACGGAATATTACCTACGAAATTTTTTTCGTAAGTAATTTTTAGTTATCTACGAAATATTACCTATGGAATTTTTTTCATAGGTAATTTTTAGTTACCTACGGAATTTTTTTCTTAGATAATGTTTAGTTATCTATGAAATATTACTTACAGAATTTTTTCCGTAGGTAATATTTAAGATTTTGTTTTTCTCACAATTTTTATTATATATATTTTTCTTTTAATACAATGTAGAAACGAAATGCGTACTTTATTTTTTTTTAATATTTTAAATTTTAATATTGGTAATAATTTATTTTCTTTTTTAAAAAATTGTAATAAAGTATGTAAATAGAATATGAATTTATCTTTCAACAAACTTATAAATTTCACTTTATTATATAAATCAACAAGTTTAATATTTAAAAAGATAAATAAAAGTATATATAATTTCAATATATTATAGTAAATTTAATATGATAATAATAATTATTATTATTATTGTTATTCTTTTTTATTCAAATAGATCAATCTTTTAAGTGTAATATAAGTTTTTTTAAAATAACCTGTAGCGTATGCTTTTAAACTAAATAGATTATAGTAAAAAAATAAATATTTGATAAAGAATAAATATTATTAAAAATTTTCATTTT